GCACGAGTGCAGGCCAGGATCCCCCCTCAGCTTCCCCACGTGCGTGGGGGTGTTGCAGGGCGCTCGGGGCAGGGCCCAGCCGGCTGCGCAGCGATGGATTGATTGATCGCGCTGGGGATTTGGGCCGGATGGCGAGGTCCAGCAGCGACAGGCGCCGGTGTTCCCAGCCCTGCTTGCAGCCCCTGGGGGCAGCTGAGGGGCTTTGAGAGCCAAAACCCCCCCTCCGGCGCCTGCCCCTCCTTCTGCCGCCGGCACAAAGTGCTGACCCATCACCTGGGGCTGGCAAGCATGAGAGGCCAGGCCACACAACTTCCTCCACGGTTTCCTTCCCCAGCCCGGAGCTGGGTTATTTTCTCAGAGGCCAACTCAGGGCTTCACCCGACACGGGGCCCGTTGCCCGCTCCTCCCGCGGCTGCAGCCCCCTTCGCAGGCTGCTGCCCACTCCGGCTTCCCGCTGCCCATGGGCTCCTCTGTGCCACTCTGCTTCTCCCAAGCCCTAAAAGGCCAAGATCTCGGGGTCTCCCATCTCCAGCCAGCTGCAGCATGCAAACCCGACCCCTCGGTGCTCCTGTGTTATTTGATGTGACAAGGAAAATCTGTGCGAGGCCGGGGCCAGATAAGAAATACACCCCCCTTCCCACCTCTTGGCGAGGGCGCAGAAAAGACGGCGGCCCCTGCTCTAAACCCACCCCCGGGGCACCTAGTACGGCCCTGTAGCCCCAGCGGGCAGGTTCCTGGCCTGGTTCCGGGCTCCATTGTTGTGGGAACAATCCCTTTGTCTGTGTGAAGCTGGCAGAAAGGCTCACCTTGCCCGGGAGGCTGCGAGATTTGGCCTGGAAATGAAGGGGAGGCGTCTCTGGGCCTCGTTCGTGCCTCTCAGGGCTACAGCTTCCAGCGTTGGCACCAATCCTGCAGGAGCTGGTGCTGCCCAGAGCCTGGGCTCTTGCTGGGTGCTTTGCAGATGCTCTGTTTCCCCCCGGTACGAATTAAAAACACAACCCAGGAAGCCGGCAAAAATCACAGCACTCATTAGGAGCAAATATTTGAATAGCAGCAATCACCAAGCGCCGCAAAGTCCCCGCTGTCTAGAGGGGCAAAATACTTCTGCCATCTGTGCCGGGGCTAGGGAGGGGAAGGCGGAAGCAAAGTGACATGGCCAAGGCCACATGGGAAGACAGTGGCAGAGGGTGTGGGATCGTGGGAGGAGCAATTCTGCGTATGCAGAGCCTCGCTCACCTGCTTGTCGGGGAAGTTGTGCTGTTTCCTTCAAGCGTGGGGACTGCCGGCCCCGGCTCTGCTCTGCCGTGTCGTCAGGCTCCGCTTGGCTGCAAAATGGGAGATGCTGGCTCGTTTCCAGGCCACAGTCTCAGCCATTTCCAGGCTGCCGTTGGAGCCCCCCGCAGCTTGGAGCCTCAGTCTTAGCACAGCGATTCTCAGCCCGCGGCAGCTGGGGGTGCACGAGCCTCTTCCAAGTGTGCTTGGGGTGCCACACCACGCCACGTCCTGCCACGCCGGCACTGCGAGGTGTGCGAACAGCGTGCACGAGATGAACCCTGAGACGTCCTGCAGGCACGCGCTGTTTAAAACGTGCTACCAGTTGCGTGCTGAGTCCTCCTGGCATTTTTCTTGAGTCAAAACCAGAGGGAAAGGTTGGAGTTGGTGTTTTCCGAGGGGAACCCAGAGTCGATCAAAGGTGCCTCGAGGCTAAGGCAGGGCAGATTGGGACCTTACAGGCTACATATACGTACAGCGCAAGCGTTTGTGGGCTGAAGCTGGCTTCATCCACTGCCTTGAGTCTCCTGAGGCTGTGCTCCACGGTCTCGGGGTCTACCCCCGCGTGGCACGTGTTTTTCGGCACAGTCTGCTGCGGCAGTTGGCAAGCCTGGAGCGTGCGGCATCGAGGTGAGGCCGGGTCTGGGGAAGCACCTGGTATTACTTGGTGCCCCCAGCTCGGGACCCCAAGGCCTGGCTGTGCATGGGGCTTGTCCTGGCTGGGATGCCAGGCTTGAGGCCTAGGAGGAGCTGGTGCCCAGGGCAGGCGGGACTTTGATACCCGACCATGGGCCTGGCTCTGCTGCTCCAGGTCCAGCCGGGGACCTTGTCCCCATGAAGCAAAGCCCCGTGGGCTGCCAGCCTGTCCAGTGACCCCAGGGGACTTGGGTGCCTGCTGGCACCAGTGCAGCCAGCCCCAGCTGGTGCATGGGAGCAGGGTAGCAGAGCTGGCGCTGCCACCCCAGCTGCTGCAGCCGGCCTGGACCCTGGTGTCCCAGCCCAGCAAAGGCACCGGTGGCACCAGTGGCAGACTGGGACACGATGGGCTACAGTGGCTCGTGGTTGTTAGCGGGTGCCAGGGCCAAGACACGCGGGTTATGGGGCATTAGCGCGGGAGGCCTGGTCTGGACCGGGGGATTACGCTAAGGACCTTACGGAGGAATTAGTAAGTGGGGCAGAGCGCCTGGCGTGGCCGGCTGAGCTGCAGGGAGGGGGCAGGGGCTCGAAAGGCAGCCCAGCCACCCCCGCTGCACCATGCCCCAGGGGGAACGGCCCCGTCACCACGCGGGCTCACCGGGGCTCCCAGAAATGGGCGCTAACAGCGACGTCCCCTTTTCCAGGCCATCTCTCCCCCTCCACAGCAGAGTACAAGGATGGGCGCCTAGCAAGGGCACCTGGGTCCTGTGCTTCAGCCTCCCTCAGGGCAGGGGGTGAAGCCCCCCGGGCTGCTGGAGACCCTGCTGTGCTTTGTTCTCTGCTACAGACAGCCCACGGGGGCCTTGGTCACATCACTTAGTCCTCCCTCCCAGCTGTGGCTCTACAGGGATGATACGCTGCAGACTGTGGGGTGCCGTGATGCCAGGGGGATGGGGGCATAAGGAGTCACCATAGCCCAGTGGAGAGCTGGCTGGGGTGGGCACCCATGTGCGGACTGAAGGAAGTGCCACAGGCTGGGGCTAATGAGCTCTCCCCATTATGCTCCCCAGCCACAGCCCTTGCTCTGCTGGCGGTAGAGCACCCCCCGGTGCAGAAGGGGAAACTGAGGCAGCAACATATCAGCACAGGGGCTGCTGACGGTGGGGGTCTTGGCAGCTTGTGAACCGGGGGCAGGCAGCAGCCAAGCCCGACCAAACTGCTCCCCTACCCCCATCACAGCACCAGCCCCACAGCAACAACCCCCCTTCAAGGCACCCCAAGCCCTTTCCCCCCTCAAGAAGCAGATGTGAGGGGCTGCCAGCCCTCCGGCCGCTGCTAAGGTTGCCCCCTGGCCCGCCAGGCAGGGCTGTGGCCGGCGCGGTGCCCCCGCCCGCTTGGGAAAACAGCCTGGGATACAAGGGCCTTTGTCCAGCTGTGGCTTGGGCTGGGAGCCTGCAGCTGCCTCGCTGGGCGCTGACCGCCTGTGGCCAGCTGGCTGCAGCTGCAGCCCCTCGGGGCTCTGCTCCCTGCCCGCTGAGCCTGCGTAGTGCAGGGGAGGCTCGGGTGGGCGGCGAAGCCAAGTGGGGACAGAGCATGGGAGGAAGCAGGATTTCCATCCGGGAAATGATGCAGCTGCTTCTGGGGTGCAACACGTCTGCAGGGCCGTCCCCTGCAAGGCGGGGGTGGGGGCTGGCGGGCATGGCTCAGCCTGGCTCCTGGCCTGGTGGTGCCGTAGTCATCCCTCTCCTGCCGCCCCGTGGCAGCCGGGGAGATCAGCAAGCCGGGTGCCCGGCGGGAGAAATCCCGGCCCCGCTGCACACTTGGGTGGAGAGAGCAGAGCCGTGGCCCCCTGCATCGGTGGCACCTGGGACCCGTGCGGCAGCCGCTCCTGGCTTGCGTGCAAAGAACGAGGCTGGAGAGCTTGTCTGGCCAGGAACCGGTGTTTATTGGGGGCAGGACAGGCGCTGCCGGCACGTGGCCATGGCACCTACGCTC